CTAGGTTAATGGTTGGACTTGATGATCTTAATTCTATAATTGATGATTCTATGATCCTAAGCATGTGGACTGCCCCAACAGTTTGGTATGTTATCAGCAGACAGTAATCACAGCTGCTCCAGAATCTCCTTTTTCTCAATGGTATAACTAACAGTCACCTGTTGGTTTTCAGAAGAGAATCGTAATTTCCTTTGTGAGTTCATTTTTGTTAAAAAGTTTATGATGTGCGCTCTAATAGTAATTTTGTGGATTACAGTCCCACTTGTCTACTCTGTTAAAGTTTTCACGTTTTGTTGTTAATATACCTCCATCTTCATTTATCCAGTAGAGAAACAGATTCATTGTTCCAACTTCAGTTATTTGGTGATCTTCTCCATAGAGCCACAAAACCTGCTGGCAGCCTAACTCCAGGGCTTCTTGCTGGGCATAAACAGAAGATCCATAATTCCTTCCAGAAACAAAAAGAAAGAGCAATCAGTTATAACTATCTGGTTGGGTATTTTCTTATTTCTATGCAAGGTTGTGTGCACATCTACCCTATGAGCAAGTTCTCTGCACAGTCTCTGCTTGTCCCTGCAATATTTTCATTGGAAGTACTCTACTAGTATTTCACCAGATCACTTGTATCTACAACCCAGAAACTTTGAAGGGCTGAACAGCATCAACAGCTCAAACATATCCATCCAAATTGTCTTAAAAATAACTCTTGTTCCATTTTCTAGACATTCTAATCATTGCAATTAGACAGCTTAGGAAAGCGTTTGTATTTATTTAGCAATTGGCATCCTAGAGAGCAACAATTTCCATGTCACTCATGGTTTTAAAAAAAAAGCAAAACAAACCCATCTACCTCGTCCCATGTATGTCAGACGAACAGATGGGTCATATATGTCAGATGAACCTCTCAGAATACAAAAATCACCAGAGGTAAGCTATTTCTTTTCTAGTAAAAGACATTCACACAATTAGCAGCTTCAGGAGCTGCAGATGGGCCTTGATGAATTCTATATCCTTGAGGACCAACTGTTTTCCTAAAACACTGCTTACAGAGTGAACCTGACTGAATAATGTGTTTACTCTGTAGCTGCTCTGACAGGGGAAAAAAAACTCCTTCTGCTTCTGATGTTCAACAACCATCAAGACTCAAAGTCAGAAGCTCTAAAGTGCTGACCACACTAGAGTTAAGTTCTCACCTCTGGGCACAAATTAAGTCAATAGTGACTCCAGACTTATCATTTTTTAATAGCTGACATCTTCATTGAAGGATACACAGAAAATAATATATTTTTAAAACTAAGCAAAAACCTCATAACAAAGAGTAAAGATCTCAGAACATCACACTGAGTGAAGGAAAGCTGTTTTCTTGCCCTTGGATTATTTTACTAGCTCAGCTGAGCAGCACTTGACAACTACTTTCTGCACAGAAGTGAAAGTCCCAGGTAGAGACAATAAACTTCTGTTAAACCAAAGACCAAGGACGTACAATTGAGTCACTTATTTGGACACATAACAAGAGTTGCTTGCCCCAGTCAAGTCCTAAGCAGTTTCACTCTACAAGTCAAGTACTTGGATGTTAACAATTATGTTTCTACCTGACTGATGCTTTGACCTAGTTCAGCAGAAAACTGCCAGACTATGGTCAAGTCAATGCAGACAATTATCTCATGCTTTCCCTTCAACACCCATACTGCCCTTGCTAACTGCAGATGGCTTGTCAGGACAGTCTGCCAAGGAAGGAGGTCAGCAGTTGATGCTGCTCACGGCTCAGCTGGCAGCAGGCTGCTACACTGAACGCTGCATCACAGAATTAATATCTTTAGTGTCAACTTCTGCAAGGGGAATAGCCAAAGTATTACATGGACACCTTCCAGGTCCAGTTCCTCAGCTTGAGATGCTGCAAAATTGCTTCTGCAAGTAGTCCAATTGGCTGTAATACCCAAACAAAAACATGCAACTGAATCGTATAAATAATATTTGAAAGTACAATTTTGTAATCTTTGTTATAGTACTCTGTTTAACTGCTATATTTAACATCTCTACTTCTACTGGATTAGATACTTCCCCAAAAACCAAATCTCTTTTGTGAGCTACATAGAAAATGCAGAATTATGTTTTCTTACCCTCCCAGTTTGCAGTCCCCCGTTCCTCCTTTCCAGGCTCTTACATATTTTGGATCTGCCCATAAGGATATTGGACTAAAGTTTCCACTTGCAAAGTAAGGGCCCACAGGGCTCAGTATGACATACAGTAGGGCTTTAGTCGGCTTCTTCACTCCAAGGGAAGGCTAAAAAGAAGGAATGTAAACAAATCTAAAGTTACTGAGAGAAAATATTTATACAATATTACACTATTCATATATATAAACATATGAATATTAGGCTATATACTAAATATATAAGTATTATACTACATAGAATTATTATAGTATTAATATATAAAATATTTCTATTATATATATACCAAGAGAAAATATTTATATAACTTCCCCCATCCAAGCAACATAACAACCTTAATTTTATATGCTGTCACCATTCCCTTACAGCTGTTTCATTTATCTATATGTTATTCTGATCTTCTCAAACAGTTTCCAACTTTTGAGAATTCAGAAACTAGCTTAACAAGATACTTAACAAGATACTATATGATTATATGAATTAATCACAGCAGAAGCCTACAAAGCTTTCTAGGGGGAGGAGTGGCAAGGATCACTGCTAGCAATAACAACAGTGGAGGAACCACTGTCAGCTGCATTAGTAACGAGAATTAGACAGTGCCACTTAGAACTGGCACTGGGGGAGTTGAGCGGTGGCTCTGCAAATGGCTGTGTGATAAGCTACAGCTATTTGCCTGCTGGAAATGGTTCACACAACAGCACAGGAAATAACCTGGAATGTATCACTTTCCCCACACCTCCTTCCTCTCTGAGAAACGGCTTCTCGTACTTCAAGTGATCACCATCAACACTTTGAAAGTGGAGGTGAAAAGTCTGGCACTGGTCAAAGTCTGAATTCTATGGTAGGAGACTCAGCTTAACTATACAATTCTTTGCAAAGCTCAATACTGACCACAGAATCACAGAATGATTGAGGTCAGAAGGCACCTCTGGAAGTCACCTTGCCCAACCTCCCTGCTCAAGCAGGGCTATGTACAGCAATTTTTGGGATCTCCTATGCAACTGCACAGGTTACTATTTTCTCTCAGCTCAGAGAAACCAGTCTCGTAAAAAAAAACAAGCTCATCCGTGGTTTCTAAAATTAGGCCTCCATTTGAAAAAAGTTATTGACCTCAAATCTTTAGGACCAAAGGTCTAAGGAAAACACTGTGCATACAGCATGTGAAGCTAAAGTGGGAGGTGGGAGGGAAAACAATAGCATAATAATGGAACTACTAGAAAATTCAAATAAGCGTTCCTCAGGTGCTGAGAGGGTTCTTTTGATTTTTACCTTACTCCTTCAACAGAACTTCTAACAAGATTGACTGACTGAGATCTTAATATTTTTCCTGATTCTTACAGAAACATTCAACAGATTACATTGACTGAGTTTCCTAACTGTGCTGATTCATAAAAGACTAGCAGGACATGCAACCCAGAGACAACATGACATCGCAGAAAGGCCAAGTGTGTTGGCTAACCTGAAACAAAGCTCAACAGCAAAAGAACTTCCAAAAACAAAAACAGGGGAAAAAAAATCAATTTTTAATATTAATACTTTACAGTCACTGAGTGGAGATCCTTCCAGGTGAGAATCTTCAACCAGTTTGCAAGCATTAAGTTAATGGAGTCCTAGAATGCATGTGAACTCGTGTATGGTAACTACATGGCAGGGGGGTTGAAACTAGATGATCTTTAAGGTCCCTTCCAACCCTAACCATTCTATGATTCTATGATTGTACTTACAGATGTGGGTATTGGTCATGTATGGTAACTCCTTACAGATGTGGGTATTGCAGAAAAGTAACTTGCCTAGCTGGGAACCACACATTCTTTAGCTTCCTTATCCTGTGCTCTACCATTATAGGTTTCTCTCTTGCCACTGCTAAAATAAACCCTTGAAGTTTTTAATTAAAATAAACTCCCTGTTTCTAATTCCCTTTATAAATACTATATGTGTGATTCATACCCACATGAAACTCACAGACTACACACTAACACCTAGCTGCTAAGGAGCCTCTTGCAAGGTCAAGCGTATCTGGCTTCAAGAATAAATTGACATAAGAACTTGTTCTTAGTTCTTTCAAAAGTCTCTCTCAGAAGAACCATCTTAATTTACTGGGTAGAATCTTCCAAAATCTCCTCACTGAGGTCAGGATGGAGGTCTGAGATGAAATCACAAAAGGTACACAGCAAATTTTGGTTCCCTCACATTTTCTCTGGATTATTAGTATTTTAAAGGCATACATTACTATGTCACAAATAACCACCGTTTTAGTACATAACCGAAGGTACTTTCAATTCTGCTGTCACCACTCAGAACAGTTAATTGAAGTTCAGTGTCTGTGATGTGAATCAACGTGTCCACTAGGTGGTGGTGTGGTCAACACGAACTTGCCAAGTCGAGCTGCAGGTGACTAACTCGGAAATAAATACATAAAAACAAGTTGCCCCTGAACTGGAACACTGTTGTCTAACGACTGCTGCATATTTCTCTTTACGGATGAAGGCTTTTGCCTCGTACTTAAATACACAAAAGTTAAGAGGAGAAAAAAAACATCTCACACCTCAGTTCCAATTAAGGTAGGACGGATATACAGGCTGGCGGTAGTTGAGTATGGGACCCACTCCTTTTCCACTTCCACAAGCTTCCGGATGCACTCTAAAAGCTCATTCTGGTCAAAACACTGGGAAGGAAAAGCAAAGAGAGAAAAGGAAATGGAGAAATATAGCCTGAACACTCTATAGTCTTTATAGATCTAAGGGGAACACTTCATCAGGATAAGTAACAGTGACAGTTCATAGATGTTCATGGGACTATATCATCTTCCTTGAGTTTGTTTTTTACAGAATTTAAGATCCCATGGTCTTTGTCACAGAGTCTTTTCACACTGTACCCTGACAGCCCTCCTGATGCTACCAAAGTATCCTCCTGGGATAAGAAAACAGGAGCCATTGATCCCTCTTGCCTCCAAAGCACATTGAGGGAAGTCTCTGTGCAGCTATGGCACCACCTCTTCTGCAGAAAAGTGCTTTGGGTTACAACTCCAAGGAGCTCACCAAGTCTCCCAGTTTTCCAAAGTTTCAAAGTTTTTACAGTAATAAAGCTCATTGGCATGGGAGGAAATTCACTGGCCAATATACAACTGCTAAGAGCAGTGTTAAGATGCTAGCGTGACCAAAAACGAAGGCACTCAGAGGCTGAAGGACATAACCGAAGAGGAAAAAAGAAAAGGAATAACAGTAGCGTCTGAACAATTTCATCAGCTGTCCGCACGCAAATACCAGCAGAACAGCACTCATCCCTCAGAAATAGACTCTGTACATCTGAGGCAGTAGGGAGACAACAAAGAAAGGAAAACACTGTTGCAATTCAGAAGAAAAATACATTTCAAACAGTTCACTGAGTAAGATCTCTTAACAAAGTTTAACTGAACTATTCAAGAGTTAGAACACTTAATAAATCTTACACTACTGTAACGTTTCAGAGATTTGCACTCTGAAAATGAAAAGGAGACTTAAGGAGAATAAGAAGCCTTGGCTACATACTGGCAGAGTTGCTCGTCTTGCTGATCGTGCCATCCTGTCCATGTTGAGGGTTGGCCGGAACAGGCGGATTTTGCCATCTACTCCTCGGTAAGCCTTCATTCCTTCAAACAACTATCAAGCCAAAAAGGAGGGAAAAGAAATCAAATAATAATTGACATATATTATCCCATGATGATCTGTATGAAAGCAGAACACACCCTTTGGAAATAAAAGAACTTCACTTTCCTGCTCACAGTACTCAAAGCACAAATGCTAACTAGGTAATCCTGGCAACACACTCCTGTGAGGTAGTACTGTGGAGTTCATATTACAAAGACAACCTGCCTATGCTTTAGATACACCTTTTTCTGTCAAGGGACTACTGATAACCACTTTTTCCATAATTTGGTTACAACAATTAAAATTTGTGGCATGTGTTTGACTTAACTATTTCCTTACTTCCTGACCACATGATACCTAAGGCTGAGCCAAAACAGTATTCTCCCTTACAGAAAAGATCTATAGAATGTAATGGTATATGTTAATCATTTCTAGGGCTCTGCCCAAAATATATTTTGGTAGGAAGCATAGAATAAGGTAATTAAGGGAACTGTTGCAGTTCTTGCTGTAGTTGTAGCAAAAACTTGGTCACCTGTTTCCCCCACACATCCCCATGCTGTGGAAAAGGGTTTAGCTAGCATGAGAGACGGATGCATTAGCCTCACACTGGAGGAAGAATGCACGAAAATGTTTTATCTATACTTCACAGAAAACTTAAATTAGTCGTTATTAACTCATCAAACTGCAGAATCCGGATGACTGATGTTGACAATCAATTTACCAGAATCCTTTAATCCCACCAGTGCCCCCCAGCAGAATGCTCTATAGCATCTCCTAACCACAGCAAAAAACATATGCCCACAAAATATCCATAGGTATTTTCAGTTACAGATTGATAATTTCCAGATATAGTTATAGACAGAAAACACATGTGTTATTTAAGCTCACATCAATATATACATATATACAGGTATTATTAGGATTAAGTATTAAAGGATCACTTATGCTTATAGACAAGAGTTCAGATTTTTAGAATGTATTTTCTAAAGCATTTCTTTGTACATTAGATTTCAGTGCAAGTTCTATGAATTTAACTGCATCACTGCCTTCAGCCTCTTCAAAATTCTTCTCCTGTCTTTTCCACAAAAAATGGCTGGAAATACATTCTATATAGTTGGAAGTCTACATATGCAGGTTTTTTATTTGGAAAAAAAAATCCTGTATTTGGATATAAGTAATTTTAGTAGAATACTCAAGGTTTCATTATTATTAAATCTGTATCATTTTCCCATAAGGATCAGTGAAATGCAATGTTTAGAAAGCTTTTGTGCAGTTCTATGACAGAGTTAGGTCCTTCCACATGACAAATTTTAATTGGGTTGTAACTGAGTTGTAGGAACCCTGGCAATTTTCCTTAGTTCCACATGCCACTATGTAGCAGAATCAGAACCCAGAATTTTTTGCCTTCAGAATTTATCTTATTCCTATGGCAATGCCAACTTTATTAAAAGCTTTGTACACATTTTTGAAAAAGAAACTGTTCCTCGGATAGACACTGTAGCTACAAGAAGAAAAATCTATCTTTAATAAAGCATGAAAATAGCTGGTGATATGGTTGATACTTCAATATTTTTATTGGGCCAGATACTGACTAATACATGTTTCTGTATTGCTACTTTTTAACACAGAACAGTTGTTTCCCCCCACCCTTCTCCCAAACACATTCACAGAACTTTTAATGAGAGGGAAGAGGAAGGAATGTTACTACTGAGATTTGATCAATGGTTTGCGAGAAGAATCGCATCATTACTGAAACACAAAGTCTTCTCAAGCTGTTAAATCTTTTTCTCCAAAAAGAAACACTTTTAACCTTCCAGAGCTCAGTAAAACCTTTCACTCATTAAAAAGGGAGACAGAGATGTGTTCCAGAAATGTTCAGCTTCAATACAAGCAACTGCTGTGATTGCTTGATGGTTGGTTGCTATAGTGGTGTGCAAACAATATCATCTGACATCTGTACATCACAGGAGCTGGATCTTAAGTTCAGCAGATCCAGACTATCACATTGCATCATGAAGGGCAAGGAGAAAGGGGAGGGAATGCCAAATTCATCATTTTTATTATACCCACTGTGTATTCATTGAGCCACAGCATTGGCACCAGATTCTCCTCTGTCTGTCCTCTTGGCTAGAGGAAACGTGATGCAATAAGGGTAAAAGAATAAAAAAATGGAGAAAAAAAAAATAAGAGCATATTCATATTAGCAATGATTTCAGACTGGGCCAGAGGTTGAGCATTAAAGCAATATGCGACTAAGAGTGAAATATAGATTTGGGACTCCAGCGTGGTTTCTTACTTCTTGGGCAGATCAAGAGCTGCAGCCTTAGTCACAGGGGCCTGCTGTAATTTGCACAGGACCTTTGGAGGCTTGATGACTAGATTGGGAAAAAAGAGCAACAACAAAAAAGGGTGAAGGCAGGAGCTCAGGGACAACAAGCAGGGGAAAGCTTGATCCTTCCCTTATACTAGTGGTTAAAAGAAAAAGAGAAGAAATACTAATAGAAGCACAAGCAACTCCACTAACTTCAGTGGAGACGCTCCCACCTACCCAGAAGCAGGAGACGACGCAGGCTTACGTTTCAGCACGTGTGCCCTACCGGGGCTCTCACACAGATGTGAGTTTGGCCAAAGCTGCTCTGGAGGCACAAAAGGCAGCTTTAGACAGCAAGCAGCTAAGCACAGAAACTGTTAACCACGCTGGTTTTCGACTTAACATTTCACTTTCCAAAGTTCCTTGCTGTATATTCTCTGCTTAAATACACTTTTATGTGCTGAATGCCTCAGATCTCTAGTTTGGAGATCTCCAGACTTGTTTGGAGTCGCAAAGGAGATCTGACTTGTTTGGAGGCTAGTCTGTCCTGCCACCTAAGCTATGAACCTTTAAAACAGCTTAAAGTAACTTTCACAAAGTGCATGTTTAGGCCTTGAATTAAAGCCACTATTGGAATCTCACATGGTCTTATCCAGTGCTTCATTAAGTTACAAGAGAGACAGTGATTGGTCCGATCCACCATCAGTGAACTAGAATGCTTGCTCAAATGAATCTGTAACCACACAAGAAAGGGCTCACCTTCACCAGGCTAGAAAGTTAAGTGAGCTGGAACCCACAGACCAGAGTTGCTTCTGAGTTACACCAACATAAACATAACCCTGTTGTAAATAATGGAATTACTGTGGAAGGACATCAGTTAACAAAACAAAATGTAACTCAATACTAATAAACTTAAGATAGTAATAGCCCTTGTATTACAAAGCTATGGGTTCAAGAGCTAATGAATAAAAATAGCAGTTTCCAAATTGATTCAGTACTCACTTCTACAGCATAATGCAGAGACGAGGAGGCTGGATGCAATGAAAGATTCTCAAGTGGCTTAATATAAGGTTTCTCCCATCCTGAAGCCAAGGACCATTGAATTGTCAGCATATTATCAGTGAACACAGTTCCAAATACCAAACCACTGGGGTCTGGTTTTTCCTTGAAAGTCGTAGCTGGGGTGATAACCAAGTCTGAAGCCTGAAGCAACACGGAGACAAAAATGAAGTGTATAAAGATAATTAAAACAGACTGATTTAAAAATTATTCTGCATCAGTGAACATGGACAAATGCAATAATTTATCTGCAGGGACATTTAATGACAGAATGGTTAAAGGTGGTTACTTCTAAGTAGCTGGCAAAGTATTCCTTCTGTGTATGCACACATACACACAGTGCTGCTTATACTAGTAGTTGGCATATTTTGAAGCATGGTTAAGTGGAGGAAGCAGTACAAGGTGTAAAAACAGAAAATTAGCAGATGAAAATTTCTTTGACGTTTAGATTAACACATCTTTACAAGTTCCAGAAACATCCAATTGCTGTACCTCAAACCATAAGCTGATCATCAGAAATTAACCTCCCTTAAAAGTAAGCAGACACATTACGCTGATTTTCCTTTAATGCATAAAATCAGTGTGAGAGATCAGGGCCAGCAGTCAGTAGATTACTTGGGTCACACCAGCTTGTTCATTCACCTTCGTATTTTCCTAGAAAGATCCCATTAGCAAAGAAGGCCAAATGTTTCCCTGTGTAATTAGCTGTAGAGATCTGCTCTTACAAGCCATGACTAGCTGCAGAAATGCAGCAGTTTTTTGTACTGGTTTTGGCTGGAATAGAGTTAATTTTCTTTATCATAGCTCATACGGTGTGAATCATCCTAAAGAACAGCAAAGGAAGAAGGAAAGTGGTACCTCTCTTATGCACAGGTAGGGCCTAAACAAATAGAGAGGGCTATGAAGTGCACGGAGTCTTGATCCACCCTCTTCATTCTCCTTTGTCGTGGTTTTAGGCTGATCCAGCA